ATATCACATAGAGAAAGACGCTCGTACAAAGTCAATATGCTAATGGATCACACGTGTACGTGCACTTGCAATGTACAACAATTACAATTGATTCCTAGTTCACATGTTGTTGCAGCTTGCTCTGATCTACAGGGTGGTGCGAGGATTTCGCATTATGAATTCGTCGCAAATTGGTATTCAACTTACAACTATCAACAAACGTATAATGACGGGCCACAGATATTACCTCCATTGTATAAAAGATCGGCTGGGCGCCCCCATTTTTTCGTACGAATTAGAAATTCTATGGATGACGATCGAGAATGAATTAGAAGGAAAAATAAGTATAGTAGATGCGATCAACCGCGTCACAACAAAAGAAGTTGTCCAGCTAAGATTAGGCGTTGATTTTTAATGTTAATGTTTGGTCACATGTGACATTCGTATTTGTAATATGTAGCGTTCTGTACTATGTTTGGTATATAATTTTATTGTTTGATGTAGAATTAATCCTGGTTCACATAGCACTTTCGTTTGTTGTAATATGTAGCATTTTGTACTATGTTTGGGATATAATTTTATTGTTTGATTTCTAATTAATCCTGGTTCAGATTACACATTCGTTTGTTATAATATGTAGCTATATCCATTATGGATCCAGGACCGATACATGGCGACGTTTTGTACCTCCAGGCGAGTTATTGTTCAGATCTTATTAGCTCGGGACAGGTAAAACGTTATATATAAAAATATTCCTTATTTTTGGCACTAAATTTAATTTTTCTCAATATACCTAATCAATTTTGTTTAATCTGTAGCTTGTACCAGACATTACCATGGTCGATCATTCACAGAGTCATTCGGCTTGGGTCCTCCACGATGAGAGAGTACTAGAGTTGATAGCTCAAGCCGGGTTTCGGGAGTGTTCGGCAGTGCGATATATTAGGCTTGATTGGCCGCTTATAAGTGCACTTATTGAGAGGTGGCAGACAGAGACTAACACCTTCCACATGCACATAGGGGAGTGTACTATCACATTACATGACGTAGCCGTCATACTTGGGCTCCACATCGATGGTCCGGCAGTTACGGGCACCGATGACCATAATTGGGCTGAAGTATGTGCTAGGCTTCTTGGCACCTTCTTCGTGGGATCGATATCTTTTTATACTATAACTTGATAAATTGTGCACTTGTAATTTTGGTACTCAATTAAGAGAATACTTGGGCTCCGCATCGATGGTCCGGCAGTTACGGGCACCGATGACCATAATTGGGCTGAAGTATGTGCTAGGCTTCTTGGTCAGGTACCCGACTTGAGAAGTGGTGCGATGAAGCTATCGTGGCTTCGTCAGACATTTCAGAGAGATATACCGGCAGATGCCTCCATTAAGACGCTTCAGTATCATCCTCGTGCGTACATATTGCACATGATAGGGTGCACGCTATTTTCTGATGCGATCAAGACTCTTGTACGTGCACGATGGCTGCCACTGCTAGAGGATTTTGGTGTATACGGTACATTATCATAAGGCAGTGCAGTGTTGTCATACTTATATAGAGAATTGGGTAGGGTACCCTTGATACAGAATAAAGAATTCAAGGGATGCTGCACATTGATAAAGATTTGGTCATGGGAGCGCATTCATATTGGACGACCTACTTTGCTTGTGCACCGTGACCTACAGGACCAGTTTCCTTCGGCATACATGTATAATTATTCACACAATTTTATTTATATTGAATTTGTACTCAAATATTCATTATGCCAAATAGGTATAACGTGCGGTACGCTTTGTATAAATCAGCGACGCGACATCGTGAGTTTTACCGTAATGAGCTTGATGGCCTCCAACACAAAAAGGTAAATATAAATCTCAAATCGTTATGAATATTATAGTTTTCTTTGTTGATACTGATAAATGTTTTATCTTATTTCAGTTCAAGTGGAGACCATATTCACCGTCGGAGCTCGATATGCATACTCTTGTACCTATCTGTCGAGATAGTCCCGACTTGTGGAGAACCAGAGTTCCATTGATTTGTTGGGAGATTGTGGAGATGCATGTCCCCGAGCGTGTGCTACGGCAATTTCTGCTCTCTCAGCATGTGTCGGATCTTATCGAGCAGATCGATCGTAGGCGACGACCTACATCGCATCGTACGGACTGGTCCGTACTCCGGACGGCCTACATAGACATATGGATTCACAAGTGAGATTTCTTACAGGATACGAGAGACACAACTGTTGACTATACTGCGTATATGCGCTGGTATTGGGATGTCACACGTAGATGGATCACGCGTGACCCAAGGCCATCAGCTGGACACCTGCCACGCCCACCGACAGATAGTTACGTACCTAGTGGGATGATCGAGAGAGATTATGTAAGTTTCTAAGCTAAATTAAAACAGTAATTTTTTTATTAAAATGTTATTTGCTAAATTGTGTATACATTGTTTAACTTTTAGGTCCGTGCTTTTGATAACATTGAAGTTGAGATTGATGAGCACATGCCTGAGATTCAGGATCCAGCGGCGTTAGGGGTCTTCAACAAGATCAAGCGGATAATAGCACAGGTGTTTCATAAGACTCATGTCGACGAGTTTGCAGGCCGTGAGGACAGGTCACAATCATTTGGGCAAATGTACACGTGACGACGTAGACCACGTGACGATGACGATGGAGCCGACACTTCGCATGTTGATGGAACCGGTACTTCTCAACCTCATACACAACCATATACTCAGATAAACGAGGCTCGTCGGCAAGAACGCAGGGAGCGGGGAAGAGTGAGGGGAAGGGGAAGAGAGGAAGGGGAAGGAGAGGAGGAGTTTTGGTTGTATGTTATCTTATTTTGTTGAAAATTATAACTTTTATGATTTTTCAAATACTATACTTTTGTGGATCAATTATTGTTTATATATGTGATCTCCGTGAGTATTGTTCGATTCATGTTTAATTCATGGCTGGATTTTAAGAATATTATTATAATTCAGTGTATATGAAATTAATTATTGTTCATAGTTGTATTTTCGTGATTATTGTTTGATTCAGTATATATTGTTTGATTCATGTAAATCGATTGATTCATGGTGAAAATTTCATGTATATTTTTGGATTGTATGTGTAGCTTTCGTGATTACGTTGAATATAAAAAACATGCACAGCCTGCTGTGCATGTTTTTAAAAACCTGATACTTCACGGGACTTCAATACCTGTGAAGTTGCAGTTCTCATTTTCCAGAGCGATTCTCTGAAAATAAGCTAAAACAACTTCACGGGACTTGAAGTCCCGTGAAGTTTTTTTTAACTTTCAAACTTCAAGGGACTTTAAGTCTCGTGAAGTTTAGCAACTTAAGAAAATAGCTGCTAAACTTTACGGGAGAAGATTGTGAAGTTTTTCACAAAAACCGACCTGGTTTCAGCGCTGAGGCTAAACCAGGTCGGTTTTTGAAAATAAAGGTCAAATAGGACAGTTTTTGGGATTAAATGTCCCAATAGGACGTTTTTGAAAATTTGTCCTAAAAGATACAAGAGGTAGAAGCATAAGAAAAGACGACGTTCAACCTTACCAGTTTTGAAATATTTATCAAGGAACAATGTGTCGTATGCGTATACTTCATGATTTCTCTGAGCACAAATAGTGAATATATATAAAATTTCATAGACTTGTCACTCATGTTTATTCTTGAAAATAAGGGTACTACAAATTCAAAAATCTAGTTGCAGATTATCATATAGGATGTACATCAGTTCATCCATAGGAAAGTCAGTCTTAACCCTAGATGGACACAGTGCAATTAAGAAGCAGGAGACTCTTGAGCATGCACTTTATCGGGGGAAGTACTTTTATCGGCACTGGACTTGTTATCAAATTCAATCCCATGGAATATAACTCTAGAAGACCTGTATTGACTTCCAAAGGCACTCCCAAATCCCCAACCAAGGCCAAGCCCTACACCACAACCTCCACCTTAACACAAGTCAAAAAACAATTTGAGCTCCAAGAAAGAATGTTCTAAGAAATATTGAAGAAATCAAGCCTTAGTGCATCAAACAGGACTTAATGTACCTGCACGCGAGAACTGCAAAAGTATTGCAGAGGCATTCCTGGAAAAAAAAATGGTAATGAGTCAGTAAGACACCTAAGCAAATAATAAATAACCCTTGGACAAAAGCTTAACTTCAATGAGTGCTTGCCAGATAAATAAACAGGACTTCCATATTTGCATGCACATGGACCTTTATTAGAATATGCTATTTAGAGTCTTAGACGGTAATCTATTATCACTTCTCCAGATCTAACTATTAACATGTAAAAGATAAAGTCGGTATGGTTCAATATTGACCTAACTTGTTTAATGCCTCAACAGGAAACAAAAGAACATACAAGTATGACTGGACGTAATATCCATGACCTGAAGTCACAAAGTTCTGAAAACCAATGCAAAGAAAAGAATGGAATATTTCAAGCATTTGGTATTATTGCATGTCGAGCAGGGACAGAGCCAGAGCTATCAGATTGCAAGCGCCGAACCTGAAATTTTAAAGCTCTTTTGCTTTTGCTTAACCCATTATGCTTCTCAAAATAAAACAATCAGAAATATTGATACAAAGTGTAACACAGCAAATAAGTTCTTTGCTCCTGCATCTCAGTGCCCAACCGGCTCGGAAATTCTAGCTCTATTGACAGTGACATGCCGCCTTAGTTGCAAAGACAAAGTCTAATATATAGTTATTCCTAAAATTTGGAAGATCCAATGAGAGGTTGAGCACACAAGAGAAGCCATTTGGACAAAAATCAAATCGTGCTTGGAAAATTCGCACTAGATTGTCTCTATCTAGTGATACTGTAGGATAAGTTATCCAAGGAGTTCCACTAAAGCTCTAGTTGTTTTAAGAGCAATCTAGAAAAGGATAATTACAGAAATTCCCCTCACATTTGTAGGGATCACAAAAATTGCTCGAGGTTTTTAAACTAACCCCCACCCACCCACCCACCCACAAATTAAATTTCGGGCAAATTGCACATGGACGCTCTATAGTACCACGTTGTGCCACTTATTATCCCTTAAGTTTGATACTGGCAGATACACTCCTGAGTGAAATTTTCTTGACTTTTTTACCCTCAAGGAGGTCTATCTACCAAAAAGCAAATTTTCCTTTCTCTTCATCCCTATCTCTCGTGCTCCCTCCTTTTTACCACGTGCAACCTCTCAGTCTTCTAAAGTCTCCAGATAATCCTTATCCAAATCAGATTTCAAAAAGATTGAGTTAAAAATTCATGAAAAACTTTTGGAAAATTCAGAATGGATTTAAACAACTCATCAGAACTCAATTCATTCTGGAAAACTTATGGAGTAAAAATACCTAACGATTCTGAACTTTACTATGATTCTCAGAATATAGTAACTTCATAAACCAGACATGGGATCAATCTTTCAGGCAAAGAAAACTTACACATAATACAAGATTTGAATACTAAAATTGAACAAGCAATGAAGAAAAGAAAATGTGGCATCTAAATGAAAGCATCTGTGTTTTCTGCTATTTGATATCTCCTTCGATACTTTGCTTAAAGTATCAATCAGAAGCTTCAACTGGTTATTCTCTGCCGAAGTTTGAAAAGGTTGATTACTACAATCATATATCTGCAAAACCTCCTACTTGCAAGATTTAACTTCATTGCGATATGGAATCTCTCCTTCTTTCTCCCAAATGAAGTACATTGCACCTGTTTTTCATCTCATAGAGTTTATTTTGATATACTACCAGATTGCTCTTTACTACAGCCATCATATAAAACCTGATCTCATTCTCATCATGCTTGTCAATTTGCCCTTTCAATTTGGATACACTTCATCCAGCCATGCTTCATCTTTTCGGCAACCAAGCACAACCCATGACTAATTGATCCCGATCGTCGAGTTCATAGATATCTCACGGGCAAATAGCTGACAATCGCAGCTTGTCTGCTTCTCCGAAATTGAATTGTTGATCCTCAAGAACTTGTTATATGCTTCTCAAATGTCTTCAGTTTTGCTGATTGTTTGGACTTTCAGTTCTGGGGAGATGCCCTTCATGAGTATTTGAGCAGGTAGAGTTATTCACCAATATCCACTTTTCATGAGGTCATGCTATTGTTGAGGGATAAGATTACCCATACCCGATATGTACCTTATTTATACCCACACCCATGCATACATATATTTATACATGTAATCAATTATATAAAACATAATTTAATTAAAACAATCTTCATGCACTTCTTGGACGTACACCCCACACTTAACGTTCACTTTCTAAAACTCATTGGATATGGATCAAGTTTGTTTTAGCCCATACCAAGTATAAAAAATGATATTACAAATATTTTTCCATACCCCCGCACCCTCATCAGTATGCATACTTATTCCCATTCAACATAAATCATGAACATCATCAAAGGATCTGGCTTCATGAAGTATACAAGTGATAAAGTAAAATTGGAGGGAGGCGGAAAGGAGAAAAATGAAGAAGAGAGTTTCTTTTAATTTGCAGATAGACCCCCTTAGAGCAAAAGAGTTAAAAAAAATACTCATTCAACACGTGTATATCTGCCAATATCAAACTCAAGAGGTAATAAATGGCACAACGTGATACTACAGGGGTCAATGTGCAATTGATCCTTACATTTTCCATCTAACTGGGCCCATTAGTATAATGAGACCCATCTAACGACAAAGTTTATTAACAATGTGGATCCTTAACTGTGTTCTTGTTTGAGTTCATACACACTAGAGATCAATTAAAGTATAAGTTACCAATACAAAGCCTTTCATAGATTTTCTGACGGAGACTCGAATATGGAATGATCTCCCTCACTACTTATAACTATGTAAACTGTTTAATGACAAAGGTTTGTTAACAATGTATATTCGGACTTATGCTCTTGGTTTTAGACTTTTGAGTTACACGCACTATTAGAGATCAACTGAAATATGAGGATATAGTTACGAAGTCTGTCCCCCTCACTGCTGATAATGATGTGGTAAATGTGTCATAATACATACAAGTAGAGAGAGAAATCAAAATATATATGAAACAAAGTATTGAACTTCCAGATGCTACAGGTCCAATAAAGTTTCCTCCACAATGTTTGACTTCAGCTCCACAAAACTAACTAAATTTATTTCTAAATTTCCTAAAACCGCTAGGGGTTTGTCTGCACTGAAGCTGTACCTGAACCATGCTCAAATGGTTTCATCACTAGTTAACATTATTGAATATGTGATGATATGGAATCAATTGTTTCCATTGATTCCACGTATGCACCAAGTGACAAACTCATAACTTATTGCACCTATGATGAACAATTGGAGATGAAAGAATCAGTTTAGCTCCACAAGATATGGATGATATTGTTAGTAAGACACAACGTCAATTAGGATTAAGGTAGTGCTTATGAAGCATTTCCCATAAGTTGCCAAAGAAAATGCCATTTATGACAAGTTTGGAATAGAAATGATAAAAGACATCCATTGAGAGTAACTATCAAAAGGGAAAAGAAGTGAAACTGTCCATGTAGAGTGCATGAATGCTTGAGGATACTAGGACAGAAGCTTTTGCTATAAATATTCCAAGAAGGTCACATCACAATTGCGAGAAGCCTCATAAGATTTTACAATTAAATTCTTATTGGCTTTTAAAAAGGTGAGTAGAACTAGTAGAAATATCCCCAATATTTACCTAAATTCATTGAAAAGCAAGATCAAGAAAGTACCCTAAATTATATTGCATGGGTAATTCTATTTGGAGCCATACCATTGTCGTACCCGTCACCAACACCGAAACTTCAATGGACACTCCTTGGGTATTTGCATACACTTACTCAAATGTGTACTCAATTATCTATACATGTTTTAATTTAAAGAAAAAACTCATGCTTCTTGGCATATATCATACACTTCACATGCAATATTTGAAACTCGTTGGATATAAGATGGGTTGGTTTCATCTCGTACCAGCCCAAAACTATTTTCTAATATAGATCTATACAAGCAATTTTCTAATATAAGATGGGTCTTTTGGACATAAGATGGGTCTTTTGGACATCGAGTTAAAACACAAGCAATTTTCTAATATAGATCTATACAATAAAATAAACATATAAATATATAAGAAATTTATTTCATAGCATGTGAGTCATTATTATATATACATGTATGTGTAACTTTGTTCCCATACCCTGTATTTTACAAATTTGTCGTGTCCCACACCCGTACTGTACCCATACCCATGTCAAGTTAAAAGATCTAAGAAAAATGCTTTGGATATAATTTATGGTTAGATAAAAGAGCAATATCAAAAAATTAGGGAGCATACTCAAATTTATTTGAATATAAATCAGAGAATTAGGATGGTAAGTGAAATTGAAAAACTACCCCCGATTGTACCTCAAATTTTAAGATCGTTCTGATGTTTTGGTTCCCTGGTGACAGGTTGTTAAGACCCTTGTTTAAAAGAAAAGCCGGTTTTATAGTATTACTATGTGCAATTGTTAAAGATGTTAATAATTAGATTGTATGTAGCATAGCGAGTTTCTAAAAGAGAATAAAGAAAGTTGTGTTTGGTTTTTGAAGAATTTATTTGAATGTATAAGTCCATGGAAGAACATGGTGGTACCTCTGAAGCACAGATTCGCCCCCGGAGGCCACGAATCCGTGTCCAACTCGAATCGGACACGGATTAGTCACGACACGTGCACGACACGTGTCAGACACGGTCAATCCGTGTCCGACACGGGTCAACGATCAAATTAGGCTCAGACACAATCAAACGAGCTCGGACACGGCTCGGATTCGCCGAAGGCCGATTCATTCGAGTTGCGGGTTTGGTTGTTAAAATACAACCCGAACCATTCGATTAAAAAACTCATCCCTATTTCTAAAATCTCCTGTTCAATTCGATCCTCAGCTGACTCAAACGAAAGAAAAAAAGAAAAAACCCTAACCCTAACCCTAATCCTCTCTCTCAATCTCTCAACTCACTCATGTTCGATTTGATCACCTCCGCTGTTCCGACCCGATCCCGCCAACCGCTCTGCTGTTCTGATCCGATCCCGCCGAACTACTCCTCCTTCCTCCGACTCCTCAAATCCACCCTCCATTCCTGTTTGGTGAAAAATTTGTAAATTAAAAAATGAAAGAAGTGAATGTGATTTTATTCTCTCTAACTGCTTAGAAAAAGAATGTTTACAACTCTCTCAATCTCAATTATAATTTGGATTTCCCGATTACAAAAGAGACAAGAGTTGATCTGAATTCTCTCCTTTGTTAAAACTGGGTTCTTCACGGTAACGATGGAGTGCCTCCCTCGAATGCTCGCATCGAGTTTGCTCTCCGTTGACGATCCGTACGTCTCTTTTTACTGGAACGATTTAAGGAACTCTTAACGAGTTTTAAGAACTCAGAACGAATTCAAACTCTTGTAAAAGAGTTGATTGATCTTAACCGTAATTGGTTAGACAAGCCAATGACGAAGAAAGCTCCAAGAATCTGCTACTGAGAAGATGATCCGAAGAAGCCGATCTCTAGATCTCCAAAATACTCAAAGATCCAAAAGATTTTCCCCTTTTTTCTGAACTAAGCTGATCTTAACCGTAATTGTGATCCCCTCATATCGTGGGAAACAGTTTTGAAACCGTTCAGCTCGTGTTTGAACGAGTCAAACGCAAAATTCGCGTTCTGACGTGAATTCTGCGTTCAAACGTAGTGTCTGAAAGCTCGAACGCAGTGCTCGAACGCAGCGTCTGGAAGCTCATTTGTAGCAATTAGATGTTGTGTTTGCAGCAATTTGGAAGCTGCGTTTGTGATGCGTTAGTGGCTGAGCTTGAGTTGCGTTTGCGCTACGTTAGCGGCCGAGCTTGAGTTGCGTCAACGGCTAAAAACGCTGCATCTTGATGCTGATACGCGGGGAATACTTCCGCGTCTTGGTTTTAAGAGACCGTCGATTTGTAGTCTCTTTCTGTCAAAGCGTTACAAAGATCGTCATTTTGTAATCTTTGCTTTAGCTCTTTGATACATGAGAGTAGTCAGATTGTAACTCCCGATGTTGATTGTGAAGGTTGTTGATTAGAGCTTTCATTGATTATTGTGAAGGTCGTCAGATTGTAACCTTCACCGATCTACGTGAAAATCTTCAAATTGTAGTCTCCTGAAAATCGTCAAATTGTAGCTTCCATCATCGGTGTTTGATGGGGATCAACTATCTATAGTAATTTTTAGACAGCCTACAATTCCTCCTCCCCGTCCAGCACAACCACCACCAATATCATCATCATCTCCTCTGGTTTTTGAGTTCGAGCAGCAGCCCAGTATCATATTATTATTATCATAAATCTGATGGAGAAAGTTACTCATTTATACTAAATCGAGATTTTCTTATTACGTTCCATCTATATATAATAATAATTTTAAAAAAAATCATTGTCGTATCCCCGTATCCTATTTTTTGGATTTTGCCGTATCCCGTATCCGTGTCTGTGTCGTATCCGTGTCTCGTGTCCCGTATCCATATCCGTGCATCATAGGGTGGTACTTTCATTAGTCATAGACTAAGAAACATACTCTTTATAATTGTTTTAGTAAGCCATATATTTTTGTCAATGTTAACTTGGATTTCATCTGTAAGCAGTCTGAAATTTGTCCGGTGTTGCTCATGTAAGAGACGATATAGTAATGCTCGCTAAGCTTGTCCCCAAAGATTAATTTACTTTTCTTTGTCAAATAGTTATATCGATCAAGATTGCAGACCTCAGTTATCGTGCTTTTAGGGCTAATACCAAATCTACTGTATAGCGAGTTCGTAAGTATCTTGTAAACATAGGACATCACGTCATTACCTGTTCTCTTAGCTTCTTGTCTACTCTCGAATATGGTGGAAACAAAGCTCTCGAAAGGGCACCTGTTCTCTTAGCTTCTTGTCTACTCTCGAATATGGTGGAAACAAAGCTCTCGAAAGGGCTGCTATTCTTCTTTTCAAACAAGTAGCCTGAGTATGGTGGAAACAAAGCTCTCGAAAGGGCTGCTATTCTTCTTTTCAAACAAGTAGCCTGAGAGAGGAATGCTTGGTTGACCCAATGACCATTGTTTTACATATCACTTAGCAAGGTTTAGAAATTAGTACGAAGGCAAGGAGCTCAAGGATGTGTTCTATGGAATTGTGTAAGATCACCTACAACTACGGTTTTTGATGGAATTATGGAGAAGCTGAAGGCGAAAAATAAAGGTGCATTCAAGCAACTAAATTAAGAATTATTACAAGGGTTCAATAGTCAAGGTATCAGATCCGTACTATCTTTAACTCCAACATTTTTTTGAATATGATATTTCGGTATCTTTTACGAGTGGATTTAATAGCAAGACAAAAAAATCTCTCTCAGAATGTTGGATATGATGTGTCGATAAGCAATGAAGAGATTACACAAAACATGAAGAAAATACAATAAATAGAAGAAAGACGAATTTATGAGAAATTACAAATTGTAAGGAACCAAATATAGCAAACCCTTTTGTCAGTGGTTGACTTTATAAGGTATGTCGGCAAAATAAAAGGTAGGCGTTGACTTGAATGAAAAACCACATGGTAGTAGGATGTGGCAATTATCTGAACCCCATTTAGACATGCATATGGTACCATTATAAAGCAGAGGAAACTTGAAAATTGTTTTCATAAGGATTACACTAAAGAATCTTACACTAATCCATCTCATTCCACACATGTTTCTTAGCTTGATGTTGGTGAGGGAAATGTGAGCTTCCATTGTATAGGGAAAAAATTAAGTAGATCTAGGTAAGCAAGCTAGATAAAGTTTCTAGTAGTTCCACTTGAAAAAGTAGTAGTTGTCTACATTGTATCCATCATTGTGGAGGGTGAAAATATAACAAAAAAGAACAGGCATGAATCCTTGATCAAGGTTTTAAATGTCGGACATGTCGGCCGACATATCGGTTTGAGGGCTTGACCGATACGACATGGACATTTTCAACTCGTATGTCGATTTTTAGGGCCAAATCGGAAATATCAGGGTCATATCGGGCATATCGATCTATTTTTTAGCTTTGAAAAATCAGCCGATATGGTACTTTTTTTAAGATATGTTTTTTGTTATCGGATTTGGGTTTAGTGATAAATACCCAAACCCGTTTGACCCGTTCTCATGTTTAAGGGTTTCTTATGAACCCAATAGAAAGAATTTATGAACCCAAATCCATATATTATTTACTTTTTTATATGTTTAGTCTATAGAATTTATAAAGTATGCTTATATTAAATTTATGAATGCTTAGATTACATTTAGGACATGATATTATACATATGCGCACTACCCGATATAACAATCTGATATTTAGTCAATGTCCTCCGATATATCCCCGATTTACGCTATCCGACATGGATTTCAGCCATCTGATATGAACCCGACATCTGACATTTAAAACATTGTCCTTGATTGATGAAAACCTTAACAAGGGAAGAGCTAGCAAAACACCTCAACATCGAAGAAGAGGGAGATAAAACACATGCATATTAGTTCACAAGATGGTTTTAGAACTAAGAAAACTTTAAATATTGGAGGAGTCATCACAATTCGATAAAGGGCAAAAGTTAAAGGTGGGAAAAGATTGCATGTACCAGCACCTACCATGGGAAGAGAAGAGACATATTGAGTTAATGTAAACAACTATTTGTGAAACAGACGTGTAATAGAAATTGTTTTTGAAATTTATAATTTCATGAAATTGCCTTAATTAATTGTCTATGAAGGTTATTGTCTCTAACACTATATTTTTGTAACATGCTGAAATCAAAGTCCAGGAAATTTGGATTAATTGCTCCCCAAATTTGTACAAATTTTGCATTGACAACCTTGTTCTCTTCTCATCAGTCTTCGGTGCAATTGACAAAATGATCTACATTCACACAATGTTAGCATAACACTCCTTTTCCTTATTTTTCATTGACATAAATTAGCTAATGAGAGTGATAGTGGTATTTATAAGAGGTAATTTTCTTGATCAAACTTACTAATTAGTTTTCCGGCCGAAAAAAAAAGAAACAAAAAGAAGAAGAAATTTGCTTCTTTCTTATCTTAAAAACAAGAGATGGAGAATTTAAAAAGAAGGGCAGGGAAAAGTTAGTTTTTAAACCTCCAATGCATCATTTGCGATTCCTACAGCTTACGAGATTTTCTTAATTTAACCAGAAAGATGTATCTTCTGGACGTGAAAAGTTTCCTAAGCTTAGAACGTTGTACAGTTGGTGACGTCTAATCCAATCTGGAAACCCATTTCAACATCATAAAGTATTCTTATCCTACAAGAAAGATCATTAATCCATCGAAAAAGTTTCAATTTGTCATATCTGCAGAAAATAATATTTGAACAGAAGCCTACATGTTATTTTGGAATTTCCTGCAGATATCCTATTAAGTACCAAATTGAGAAATGCTGTCAAGAAATTATACAAGATAGAAAGAATCCATTACAAGAATTAAGGGCCTATGTAAAATACAAGGTTGAGCAAAGTTAAGCGTACACCAAGCATAAACAGTCCTCTCATACCTGAATAAACTCTCAGAACAGTTTTAGCCTTCATCACAAGTTATACTATATCTATAACTATTAGTATAAAATCGCACTAAATCTACTCTAGTGCGTAGTTCTATGCCTTCACTGAAATGACTAATCTCCCTTGAAAGGTCAACAATCGAGAAAATTGTCCATACTTCTCACTCAAATCATTTCTACTGTCATAATTCCAAAGCCCTAACGCCTCGTTTGGTACGCGGGAATAGAGTCAAGTGAGAATGGAAAGAATGTAGGAATGGAATGGAATAGATGTGGGAATGGAATGCAAATTCTCATTCTCATGTTTGGACGCGTTTAAGGAATGAAACGGGAATGACAATCTTATTCTCATTCCCACGTTTGGTATCATTTGTTCACAAGTGAGAATAAAATTTAGTTTTCTAATAATGTCCCTACCAAAACATAGAATTTTAAAAACATTAAAAATATTTTAAAAATGACTAAATAATTTATTTTTTAGAAAAATGAGTTTTATAGAAATGATATTTTTTCCTTAGAGAAATAAATTTTCATGTAATAGTTATATTTTGGCACACCGTCTCGATAACAATTTTGGATTTTTGGCTTACAAATTGAAAATAATTTTCATAGAAATTATTTTTAATTATAAATAATTATAATTTTACTTTTCTAACTTTTAGTGCTACATGTCTATTATTTTTACGAGTAACTAATGTTACTAACATCATTGTGCACTAGTGAAGAGAAGAATGCCTCAGAGATATCGCATATAGTCAAAAAGTTATTTTTATCTATATGCCAACAATATTGCAAAAAAAGAACGTGATAAAATAGTTAAAACATCAAAATTGTATAAAAAATGTGTCTACTAAATCATGAATAATTGGGCACTCTTCACAACATCTCCTGCTAAAAGAAATTTTGAGATTTCACGTTTAAGGGAAAAATAAAGGGAAAAAAATAAAAAAGTGCAATTTATCATCCATATGTCCAAAATTGATATAAACGGTAGTGTCTATAGTCGACAGAATTTTATTAAAAGATATTGGAACTATGGCACATATCAGAGATTTATTAAAAAATAACATCACAAGGTATTGAAACTAGGTAAGGTCGGTGGTATATAAATTAACTTAGGAACAATGTTTGTATATTATATTCATGCTTATATTTATTTGTATATTTGTACTAGTAGCTTAAGATAAGATAATTTTTAATAAAAATAATTTTCATATGGAAATTTATATCTATTTGTATCTTTTATGGAGGGTATAATTGGAAATTATTTGATTATTTTTATTCCCACTTAAGTGGGATTATCAATTCCTTGTTGAATGATTGGGAATGACAATTCCCACATAAAGTGGGAATTGATAAGAAGTGAGAATTTCAATTCTAACATCAAAAAATGCATCGTGTTTGGTACATAGGAAAAAAAAAGTTGGAATTGTATTCCATTCTCACTCATTCCCGCGTACCAAACGAGCCCTAAATGTTTGGTTATCATGTCGTCATTTTTTAAGGGAAAACATAAGAAACGTGGTTATATAAGAAGGTCGTGAGTCCCACCATGTTATACACTTCGTGGAGAATTTCAAACAATCTGATGAAACTTCTCTTCACATATAAAACAATCTTAAGAGGAAGATATATCCAATAATGCATATTCAGGTACTAGATTCGCAGAACTTAAAGAGTAAGGAGTGAACCTCCGAATCCCCATCCAACTCCAAAACCACAGCCCACGCCAAAACCTGAAACAAATAATAAAAAACTAAATATTAAGAATCTAAAACTGAAAAAGAACCCCAAGAAAGAGGGGGGGAAATCCCACAAAGTACCGAATCCAACGCCGGTGCCTGTGAAGTTAGTGAGAACCATTCTTCAGGGCTAAAAGAAGCAGTCCGACTTGAAACCCTAAACAATAAATTAACATATTTCCAATTGAAATCCCAGAACTTTATCGTCAAAATGCAGTCAGGTTATCCAAAAAAAACAAAAAAAAATCTGGGAACTGAAGTAGAAGTAAATAGATATTGGGGAATTTACCAGATTTAGCTCTTGGATGGTCGTGTCGGATACTCGATATTCTGCCTTGCTCGTGGAAGGTGTCGTAATTTCGGTGGAGATAAAGAAAGGAAGAGAGTGAGAGATTCGGGCTTTGGTGCCGATTTCGCCCTCACGAAGAATCTGGTGAGTCAGCATGCGGGTAAGCTTCGGGAACACACAACTTATCCTGTTCCGTTGATGTGGTTAGGTCTGAGTCGTTGATTTCAACCGGGGAGCTTTGGATTTGACTTGTAGCTAGTATTCTACCCCTGCTGGTCTCGGACCAGCCTTCCGTTTTTAATGTAACTCAGCATCTTAGTTTATAAGGTTTGGTTAAGTATTTGAAATTTAAGTCCTAATTATTTTTTAAATTTAGAAATATAGATTATAACATAGGTGGTGATGAAATATGAAATAAATTAAATTAAGAAGATGCTAGTTTTTGATCCAAAACTCCCTTTCTATCACGTGGTGAGGATAATTGTTCAGGATTTTAAGATGGATTTGACGTTTTAGAGCTGGGGATAGCGGTACTTCGGGAGGTAGGAGAAACCTATTTTGTGAGTGTAGGATCGAAAATCTGAAGTTGATTGATTTCTTGTTTTAAGAATGAGTTCGATTACTTGGTACAAATCCCTTACAATCACTCACTCTCTCGATTACAGATGAAGAGAATATTAATTTGACTTCTCTTTTGTTTAAAAGTGGGTTCTTGGTGACGAAAGGATGCTCCTCTCAATATTCAAGCCGAGATTGCTTTCCGTTGACGATCAGATCAAGATCACTTCAACTCGAGAAGAGAATCAGACTTTGTTGATGGCTCAAATTGTTAAAACCGAGGTTCGGATCTCAATCTTGAATGCCAAAGTTGTGCCTCTCGTGCTCCTCGTTTGCCCCCCTTTTATAGCTACTCATAGCTATTTATAGGCCTTAAGTACATAACTGATGCGCTGAAATTGTGGAGTCATGGCGTAATTGATGCGCTGAAATCGTGGAATCGTGGCGTAACTGATGCCCTGAAATCGTGGAGTCGTGGCGTAACTGACTCCTTGGATTTAGCCCACATGGCTGACTGGGTTTTTGGATCCGTTACAGCTAATCTTCCGCAAACGATGAACCTCGCTGCATGGCAAAGTTCATCTGATTGAACGAGCCTCAATATGCAGCGAGGTTTATTTTCATCTGACAAGCTTCGTATTCACTAACGAACTTCGTCTTCGATAGCTGAGTCCAACTATGTAGCAAGTCTTGTGAATTTTTTTTTGACGAGCCTCATCTTCACTAATGAGCTTTACGTCTGGTGGTGAGTTCTGAATCTCGTATCCAATGACGAGTTTCGAACCTCATTTCCAATGATGACCTTTGAACCTCGTTTCCAATGATGAGCTTCGAACCTCGTTTCTAATTGTTAGCCCTTATGTTTTGATGATGATTTACAACCACCATTATCGGTACTAATTGCTTGTTGAGTGATATTATAGTTTATATATATATCAAGCTTGTTAGTACCACATATGGAGGATTGGATAGAATATGAGCTACAACAAAGATATCTAAAGAAGGAGGAGGCAATATGATGAAGCAAATGTTAATTAAGAACAACATATACAAGTGAAAGCTTCATCAACTTTAAGCAATATCAAGAATCAAAGAAATGTAATTCTATGTGAGGATATTTACTAGTTTTTCTTTTCTTTCTAGTGCTAGATTGTAGGCAAGTAGTTGTAGATTTCATTTGAAGCTATTGGGATATCACACACACGTTTTCATACTTATACTTTTGAGTGTTTTTTTTTGTTAAAATATTGTTTTTCACAAGTATAAGGACATATTCACTAAATTCCTTTTCTAAACAGTTTGTTTTTAGTATTAAAAATATTTTATAAAGTTACACAATATTTAGAAATCAATTGAGCATTTTTAGAAAAAGTCAAAACCTATTTTTTGTCATGTATCTGTTTGCGGTCGACCGTCACGGTCGACCGCCTTGAGTCCAGAGACTTAGAATAGTTTTCAGAGGCTCGCAGTCGACCATGGTAGTCGATCGGATGAAGTCCAGAGAGTTTTGCGGTCGACCTTCACGATCGACCGACTGAAGTCCAGAGCCTAAAATAAGTTTCTGTAGTTTCTCGCGGTCGACCGGCCGTCACCGCAATGGGTTTTTTAGTACAGTTTTAGAAATCTTTTTTTACAGGATTTGGGGAGATTTGGGTATGGGTTTTGGCAGCTGTGTTTTCTCGTATTTAAACCCCTCATACCCTTCTTCTTCAACCTGCCCCAAGCATTTTGAAAATCCTGACTTTCGCTTTACTGTTTTCAAAAGAGCTGAACTTTCAATCCTGTTTTTCTCTGTTTTTAAGTTCACACCCCAAGCTTCAAGTGTGATCTCTCACCTTGCCATAGGGTTACTGTAAAGAGAGAGATTTTACACAATTTACTGCTATTGTGAGTTTGATCTTGTGGAGATCAACTGTGTGGTAGTGAAATCTTGTGGAGATCGTTGTGTAGAAGAAGTTCCGGCTTCCAAACAAGGTTGTGTAGTGGATTCTCCTCGAGAGTGGGGAGCGGGGACGCAGGTCAGCGGGCCGAACCCCGTTAACACATCACGCGTCACTTGGATAACGATTTCTAACCCTATTTCATTTACTTTAATTGTTCATTTTGTGGTGTATTGCTTGTTTCAGTTTTTATTGCACATTTATTGCCTTAAAACCCTAATCACCCCCTCTAGGGTCTAATAATTGGTATCAGAGCTTGGTCTCTATATTAGTTTTTGGTTTAACCACCTTAGAGAAAAGATCATATGGAGGCTTCATTGAATGTGCACATACTTGAGGGATAATCCACCACTAGACCCCACTTTTCCCCGGTAGTAATTTTACCTATTGGAAGGCTAGAATGAGAATTTACCTTCGTTATATTGATCTTGACATTTTAAAGCTCATAGAAAAGAAATATGTAGAAAAGTCCAAGATTAGCAACATGACCGACGACGAAAGACTCCTAGCTAATCTCAATGCCAAGGCCATGAATGCCTTAATTTGTAGCCTTCCCCCAATAAGTACAATAGTGTCTCCACATGTGCAACCGCACATGAAATTTGGGTAAAATTATGTATCACACATGAAGAAACCCCCCAAGATAAGGAGTCTAAGATTAGTGGGCTTATGCTTGACTATGAGTTATTTAAAATGCTTCTTAATGAATCCATTGGTGTTATGTTTTTTTGTTTTACTAACATCATCAATGAATTGCATGGTCTTGACAAGAAATTGACTATCCAAGAGACGAACTACAAGATCCTTCGCTCATTGACTCTGGCATGTGAACCCAAAGCTACGGCCATAGAGGAGGCTCATGATCTTACTACTCTAGCTCTTGATGGCCTCATTGGCAAGCTTAAGGTTCATGAGAAGAAGCTCAAAGAGAAGGAGAAAGAGGAAGTGTCCCACGGGAAATTGATGAGCCATCACAAAAAATGAAGACCATAGCTCTCAAGGGAGCTAGTGATAACTCCCCATCATCGAATAGTGAAGTTGATTTTTCTAGAGAAGTGACTCACCTCTCTAGAAGAATATTAAGACTCATAAAAATGAATAAGAAGTTTAATCACGGATGTAACAACAAATTTTCTTCACATGTAGAAAAATGCTTTGAATGCAATGAACCGGGTCATATTGCCAAAGATTGCCTTAAGCTCAAGGAGAAATATTTGAAATACAAGAAGAAGAAAGTCACGTATGTCGGATGGGAGGAATCCGAACCAAACAATTCGGATAGAAATGAAGAAGGAGCAAAGATCGTTATTCATGATCCCAACATTTGCTTTATGGCTTATGAAAAGGAGGTAACATCCGATACCGAAAGTGAATCCTTTTACATGCAATGTGATCTAGAAACCACATTAGAAGAGTTAAACATTGAGTTTAAAAGAATAACAAAAGAATACTCTTCCTTTAAAAAATTGCATACTTCTTGTGATTCCAAACTTGAGCAACTACAATCATCTCTTGCTTTAAAAGATGAAATGCTAGGGGATCTTGATTTTGAAAACAAACAATTAAGATCTAAGATTGAAAGGCTTGAAATTGAAATTGGTAAAATTAGACCTACTCATGCATATGCTAGTCATCATCACCATGAGAGAAATAGATTTCATAGATCTCATGCTTCTACACACAAGAGAAATTTTGTGTGCACGTATTGCATGAGACATGGTCATATCTCTACTCATTGTCGGATTAAAGATAATCATGATTTTTATGGAATGACATTGGTACCCAAAGGTACCAAGTTTACTAATAACTAAGGACCCAAGATTTGGGTACCTAAAGTTACTACACCTTCAGCTCTTGTAGGGAACATCACAAACATGACGTAGAGAGATGTGGCACCTTGATAGTGGTTGCTCACATCATATGACGGGCAACAAAAAACTATTTGTAACCCTATCAAGGATTGAAGGGGGTAGCGTCTCCTTCGGTGGTAGTGAGAAAGGTAAAATTATAGGTATTGGATGCATTAGTAAAATACCTTATCCCGTAATAGAAGATATTTATTTGGTTAGTGACTTGAATCATAATCTTCTTAGCATTAGCCAATTGAGTGATAAAAGTTTTGATATTTTTTTTAAACCGGATAAGTGCATTGTTAGCTCAAATAGAAAAAATATTTTTTTTGCTAATAGAAAATCTAATGTATACATTTTTGAGATGAATGAGCTAATAGATCAAGATGTAAAATGCCTTGCGGTGGTTAATGAAAACCCTTGGATTTGGCATAAGAGGCTTGGACACGCCAACATGGAGTTGATATCCAAATTATCCAAGAAGAATCTTGTAAAGGGTTACCAAACTTGTATTTCATCAAGGATACCATTTGTGAAGATTGTGCTAAAGGGAAACAAACTAAGTCTACCTTCAAATCTATTAATGAGGTATCAACTTCTAAACCCAATTACTTCATCTTGATCTCTTTGATCCTATGTGTATTACCTCTCTAGGAGGCAAACACTATGTTTTTATTATCAATGATGATTTCTCTTGTTTTACATGGATAATATTTCTTGGTAGAAAAAATGATTGTTTTGAAAAATTTTCAAATTATGTCAAAGGAATTGAAAATGAAAAAGAG